TATATCTACGTTGAACACACTCTGAAAAACGGTTGCGTGGTAGCGCCTTGCAACAGGCGTTGCACTAATGGCAGGTCCGGAAATCCTAGGACGTCACAGAAGTAGAAGTGGAAGTGTTATACTTCTGGTGAGTGTGGTAGCTGGGGCCAGCTTTATTAAGAGGTGGCAACCAATCTGCCACCCTACTTTTGCAGATGACTATGGGATATCACGTAACATCGGGTGGACCGTGAGATCGCTGACCAAATTCTCACAAAAAAATCCATCTCTGCGAACCCTTTGAGGGTAGGGTGTGAGGCTTAATTAATAGTATACTTTTTTAGCATCCCTCAGTGTTACGCTCGTGCGAACTGTAGCCTTTCCATAGGCTTTGTGCTTGATGAAGGTTTTTATAGACTGCAGTATGAAAGGGCAAACAAAAGACTTTGACGCGTAAAGTTCAAAGACCAGCTTGATTGCTATACAGCAAGAATCGGTAAACAGTAGGAAAATCGATTAATATTAATGAACTCGCACGTGAATCGCAGTCAGCCAGACTGGCGCCAACGACGTGCCTTCATTATCTCTTACCAATTTGTTATTACCGTATACTGTTGGAACCTCATATAATGAATAACTGAAGGTATACATTTCCGAAGCATTGTCTTACGACGGAAGACTATCTTATATTTAAGATTTATATTAAATCTTAAATATTAATGCAATGATTTAATTATATTAAATCATTGCATTCTACGTTACTTACAAGATTCTACTTGACAGTGTTACAAATAAATAAACAAATAATAAAATACTAATAGAATAAATATTTCAGGACATATATTTACACAACGTTTTCTAGTCCCAAACTAGCAACATTTGTACTATCTGTACTAGATAACTGATAAACGTACTTAAATATCTTAAATACTTGAACATCGAAACTGAAGAACTGAAAATCGAACTCTGTAAGAAAGAATAGAGAAAGTAGTCACTGAATTCGTCGAGTTTTTTTTTTTTTAATTAATTCGCCTTTGCATATATTCCGTTTTGGTCGGATATGGGCTGTTGTTGACACACGCTGAAGTTTTATCGAGAAAATTCATAATTTATAATTTAAGATTGATTTATAGTTTACCAGCGATTCTCAGCTCAAGAAGCTATTGTCCAACAAATATGTATTTTTCTACTTAGTTTTAATATTTTATAAATAGCCTCTAGATTCTAGAGGCTACTTATAAAGCCACACTGAACATTCTAGAGTCTAGAATGTTCAGTGTGGCTTTTAACATATAAGTACTATGTAAGTCAATTGATGACTGATTATGATTCTTCTACATTGGAAAATTTTGCAAGGGCAACTGTGATAAGGCCAGGTAACAATCTTAGCTGTTGCTATGGGGACGTCTGTCCGGGTAAGTACCGCGGCCTCGCAGATCGGCATGAAGTTGAAGTGTTATACTTCTGCATTTCGTCTGGTGAGTGCCAAGCCGGGACGCACTATTTTAAAGGTACTAATTCTAAAGGTGATAATGCATCTGCAACCCTACGGGTGTTGCAAATATCCATTGGCAGCGGTTACCACTTGGCATCAGGTGAATCGCCAACTCGTTTGCCACCTTCTAACATTAAAAAAAAACTTTACTGAAGAATGTTAAATAAAACTCGAAAATGTGGACTTTGGAGTCCCATCGTAATCGCGCACTTTGAAAATAAATAAGTTTGGCAACGTTGCGTATTTATCGTTATAATAACGGTAATAACGTTAATTTCCCTGTCATAATTTCGTTCTGTTACTCGTATAACGTTATACAAAAATATTGAAAACGGAATGTTATCTGAGGTACCGATACCATTATAACGTTATGATATCGTTATAAATTTTGTTATGCATAACGTTTTAAGTCACTGCTTTGGACTCACAATGTTACTCCATTTTTATTAAGGTATAATATCGGAAATATTACGTTACCGTTAAAATATTTTATCTGTATATGTTTTGCTAAAAGATACTTTATGTAAACCATATTGTATCTTATTATTCTTATACATTAATGTTGGACTAGAAATGCTCCATACTTAGCCACCTTTTAAAATAAATCTAAAAGCTTTGGGAAACATGTATATCAGTTCAAGTACAAAAATATCAGTTACCTAAAGTAAAAGTAGACGTAAAAAAAGTAAAAAGTAAAAACTTATTTAAAGATGTGATCTGATGTGATACCGTTAAGGAAATAGAGACAAGAAAGAGTTAGTACGTACCTTAGACAGTATTCCCTTTATCGCTTTTGTTATAATTTTTTTAAGAAAATGTTTAGATTTCATTCATGCTTCGTACACTTAAATCACTGATACCAAATATGCATTTAGGCAGGTCTTATTCGCAACATCTACTTGCACTTCTACGGTGGTAGGGCCACGCAGCAGCCTCGACTGTTGCACGAATGGGCAGGCCCGTCCGGGTAAGTACAACGACCTCACAGAAGACCAACGTAAAGTGGAAGTATGACAAATACTTTCGCGTTTCGTCTGGTGAGTGAGGTAGCCGCCGGAGCCCAATTTTATAAAGGTTGTCAACGCATCTGTAACCCTCGGGTGTAGCAGATGTCCATGTGTGGCGGTATGCACTTACCATCAGGTGAACCGTCTGCTTGTTTGGCAATTTTTCACATAAAAAACGAAAAAAAAATCTTATACTCTCTTTATAGAGGCCTTTTACCCAGTGGGACATATTATATACGTTGTCACTTAATGCTCATTCTTTAAAACAAAAGTACAACAGATACTTCTAAATAATCGAACAATCTTCAAAATTCTATATTCTATTGAAAATTAAAAAAAAAAACAAAACCAAATAGATAAAATACGTCAAGATTGTCTTCGGTATAGCAATCAGCCGTTTAGCTTAGTGGTCAAAGCTTCTAGGCGCGATTCCGGAACACATGGGTTCGATTCCCGCGGCGGTGAACAATTTTTCGTCCATTTTTATTAATCATATTTAAATCAATCAAAATTCTAAGCTGAATCATAGGAAACGATTAGTTGCTATAATTCAAGCTATTTCCAATAAAAATAGGATAATTATGCATTTTAATATCTTCACAAAAACTTTACAAATTTTTAACCACTATAAAATTGCCAACAGCGAATCTATTATCTAAGTGTGTCAGCATTCCGCCATTCCGCGGCAATAAGTCTTGGAGAGATGATAAATTACGTTAATTGTTTTATGTTAGAACATAGGTTTGTATTGTCTACAAAAATTACCGTGGCCAAAGAGAAAATTAAACTATGTTTTATTATAAACACTTGTTCTTATATTTTACAGGGAGTTATTACCTATTTTTACATATATTACTCTAGGTTAAATAATATCGTGGAATGGTTAAATTTACATGGTAAAAACTAAATTATAGGGTAAAAACTATTACGGTCAGTCAATTATATTTTTAATATACATAACAAAATAATCTGATTCGAATTTGTGCACATAAATAAAAAGACATATTACTAGTTTCCAGGATTATAACGGTTAACGTACTAATTGCAAAAAATAAAACCTTTAAGCATGTACTAAAAAAAAACAAAACAGATTACGTACTAGTTACAAATAAAAAAAAACCTTTACAGCTTGTATTAAAAAAAATAGATTATCTTTGTGTGAGTGCGTTTGTGTGCGTGAAATATTACGATAAAAATTGCATCAAATTGCACCGAAACAGGAGACTCAGATGACATATTAGTCAACATGATGACAGTTTTAAATTTTAAATATAGCATCGATAAATAATAACTTAAATATATAGTTTCCGCGCGGGTATATCTTATGCTACAAAAAATAATACATCATATAAATCTAGCCTCGATTGCGACTAGTAACTTTGTTTTTTTTTAATTATTACAACCTTCACTGTGTGTTACCATGCGTTAGTTACAAAATATAACTAAGTTAAAAATATAGACATGCTGTCAAAGAGGGTACGAAAACCTGTGAAATAGCTACCATTATTAAGTAAAATTGCGACCGGTGGAATGGACAAGAAGGATATGTAAGGATTTATTCCTTACCAGTTGAAATACACGATAACTTTAAAAAAATGTGATATCATAGTTCTACGCTAATGTTCCGATTATAAGCGAGATTTTTACTTTATTTTATTATGTTTATAATATGAGGTTGTTTAGATTTTCTTTTCTAACCTTTATTATTTGTGTTTACGCAAAGCATACAGCTAAAACATATCAATAAAACAGTAGTTCTACAATTATAGCCCTTCCTTGTTCTACGGAGATTTGATCAGCTCTTCAGGATTTGCAACGATGATTTATCTAGACATCATATATTACAGAAGCCCTTCATAATCAATTTTGAGTACACTATTTTTGAAACCAAAATTGTTACTTTATATAGATAGACAATATTATTAAAGTCTAAGAACGACATTCCACGCGATGTTTTCTTATTGATTTTCCATCAAACCCAGCACTTAAATTTAAATTTTATTTTCCCCGAATTCTAACTCCAATTCAGAACAAGATATTTCCTTGTCTGGTAAAGTATTTATTCTCTTCCGCCAGTGTGCTCTCTTCCGAGCCGAATTGACTAAGCTTTATACACGAGTTCCAACTCATCAACGCTCACCATCGTTCTCACCATCTTTTCGACAACAGGGCCGGATTTAGGGAAGGGCAACAAAAGAAGGGACGCCACAATAGAGACTTCGGAAAAACTAGTAAACAATAGCAAAAAACTTTTCCCTTAAAATTTTTTTTTCGCGTTTTACTTTCACCTACAGGACTTTGTACAAACGTGATTACATTAAACATTAACAGAAATCAGTAGAAAATAATTTGGGGCCAAGGGGCCTCCACTCCTTTGTTGCCCCGAGGCCTCCAGACCTCTAAATCTGGCCCTGCTCGACAACTACACACATCGAGTTCCAGCTCACAACGCCCACCATCGCCAGTTCCCGACAACTATATACATCGAGTTAGCTCTACGGTGCCGACCGCTGTTTTTAGTTCTCGCTGTACACCGTATTGTACACCAGCTCCTGGATCTTCATGCGCAGCATCAGCTTCTTCGCAGGGCCGAGCTTCCTCACGTGAGGCAGCAGGCTGTTGAAGAAGCCCACATCCTCATCCTTAGGCTCGGTTTCACCGGCGGCGCTCCTCTGAGCCTCGTCCTCGTCGTCGTAGAAGTCCGTCTCCATTATGATCGGCTTCGTGTCGAACTCGTCGAACTCGTCCTCTTTGACTGTGGGCTCGTTCTCGGCGTAGTACGCGGGCGGTTCGACGGCGTCGTACTCGGGCGGGAAGGGCTCGTCGGTGGTCTCGTTGCCCTCGTAGTCGTTGAACTGGTTGGTGAGGAACTGTAATTTGGGCAGGTACTCCCACTCGGAGCCCTGCTTCCTGACCTCCTTGCGCGCCTGGTCCCGGAGATACTTCCACTTGAGGCGCGCCTCGTCGCCTACAATGGGATGTGTGACCTTTAGCTAGTGGTGTTACTTGCAACGGTTGTATTAACGTAATTATAAGTAAACTTTATTGCATCAGTTGCTTTTTATAGTGATGCATCGGTGTTCAAAATAAAATTAAATATAAATTGAACGTAGAAAAATCCGTATGAACTGTTTCATGTAATGGCTTGCAATGTTCACGGTAAATTCAAGAAATTGTCAAATGCCTTGATGTCTTTAGCTCCTACGACTACCTCGTTGTAGACATGACTCATGCCTTCCACTTTTCATCAAGCCCATTTATATTGAAGCGAGACAGACAGATATGTAGCTTATTCGTTGTACATCAAGCACAAGTAAATTGATTTTTCAAAAGGTTCATTCAATACCGAATACATTGTTTGGCCCAAGGAATTTAAAACTACTAATCTATATGTTGTATATTTTTTGGTTTCTTTTCACTATTACCGTAAATTGTAAGGCACCATTATGCAGTTTCTCGAGTCTCAGAGTGAGATCAGAATTGGGTATTTAGAAGATGAACTTTCTACCTTACGGGCACAAATGTGCCCGTAAGGCAGAAAAATATAGGAGAAGTATAGGAGATATAGCACAGTATAGCACTAGTATAGCAATAGTATAGCACAAAGTATAGGAGAAGCATCTTACAGGAGAAGCATCTTAAGACTCAGAATTACATAACATTGTTGTTTCTAACTAAAATGGTGATTGAAGCTTCAAAGTGGTCGTCACCTTTTTGCTGTTAAAAGTTAATTCTTTACCACTTTATTAGATTTCAATGACTCTTTGAATATTTTATCTGTTACAAATAGATTTAAATTACAGAATTAAATTTTACTAAAATCTAATGATAAGATTCCCGAGAAAATCAACAAACTCATAGATGTGCTAAGGAATCTCTTTTTTTTAACCAGATTGTATACAAATTAGATACTTGTACATTTAATTGTACGCAATGTATTCGTTCGTTGTATATGTCGCATTAATATTGACCATAATTATTATTTAAAGCTCGTTTCAATTTTATCGTGAAAATTAATTATTTCAGTTATGACTCCAGGCCGACTATTTAGTTTTCTCATTTATTTTAATGTTAAATAGTACTGAATTTCTATTATTATTTATTACTAAATCGTACTTAGCAGATGGATGTTATTCAAGGTTATTATTTAATTATCAACTTTTATGACCCGCTTAGCGCAGTGTTCAGCGTGCATTCAATTCAATCCCCGATTGATTAATCAATTTTTAACCCAAACATTGTTACGCGGAATACGTTTCCTATTGTTATATCAGCATTAAATAGAAAATATATTTTAATATCCAACATTAACTGCATTGAATAGCCTTCAGTTAAAACTTAAATACGGTCTACTCGTCGTTCAAACGGTAAAACTTGGTTTACTCCCATAGTCGTCATTAAACGAAGCAACTTACGCGTTACGCCCAGCTCCTGGGCTATTTCCTTCCAGCTCTCGTCTAGCTTGTACCAGTTGTGGTGGCCCTTCAGCTGCCTGTTCCATATCAGGTCCCTCGGCCGCACCAGGTCTATGAGCTTGCTCATGTCCACGTCGATCGTGCGCCGTTTGTTCATCAGCAGCTTCTTCCTCATCGTGTAGCCGAGCTTCGGCCGCTTTATCGACTCGTCCAGGGCGTTGTAGACCTCGTCCGTCGTGTCCTCGTCGCCCTCCTCGTCTTCGGCCAAGAACTGGTGGTGGATGAACTTCAGCTTCTGGAAGTGTGGCCACTCGGACTCGTTGGGGTTCTTCTTCATCTCCTTCCGGCACTGGTCCTTGAGGTTCTTCCATCGCTTGCGGCAGTTCAGGCCTGGAAGACAAAGAAAATTGTAGGGATTGGCACAAACATCGTATTTGAAATGTTATCGATTTGGGCATCGTTAACGATTAATAAATATGGCAATTAGCGCTAATGAGATTATGCGCACAAATTTAATTTAATGTTACTTAAATTAGTCCTTAAAGCGAATTAAACACTCGTGATTTGTACAAAAAAATCATGTTGAAAAAAATTCCTTCTGATATCACTTTTACGTTGCGTTTTATTTGTATATATAAAAAAAAAACAATAATTCGCCAATTCTTTTTTGATTTTTACGATATAAACTTAAGATTAAGACAACAAATAATTGGTTTACTTATATACTACAAATGAAATCATCCGGCCATCAAATAACGCAGAGCAAATGTAAACAAACGAATGCATATCGTAAAAGAAATTGACATCGCTCCGTCACTCGCGGAGCGACGCATCGGTCGACTCGATACGCCTCCGCGAGCCTGCGCGGGACGGCAACAGCGAAAACAATATGGCCGCCGACGGGCGTTCACCTTGGTGGCGTTGCGAACTCGCGTTAACACTCACTGGTGGTCCCGACTTCCGCTGCGACCTCGTTCCAGTACCTCTCCAGCTTGAAGCGGTTACGGTGGCCCCTGTAACTTTTGTCCCACAAGCACTCCCGCGCCTGAACGGCCGCTATCAGCTTGTCCATGTTCTTGGACCGCATCCCCTTGACTTTCGCCTTCATAGCGGAGCGGACGCGCAGGCGGGAGCGGAGACGGGCGCTGCGAGCGACGCGCGGCGCTGCACTGAGCGAGAGGCCGCCGCCCGCGCCCCGCTACCGCTCACCGGCTCGCTCCCGCTCCCGCTCGATCGTATCGCCGTCCTGTTCGCCCGTGGACACGCCTCGCACAATGCGCCACCACATTGGCCGCTGCGACGCTTACTGCCACTGTAAAATAAGTCGTTGCATTGAAGTTGTATTACGCATCCATCCCTTGTTGTTGCTAACTGCAAGAGCAATGGAAGCTTCGTATGGCACAAAAACTATTCTCATTTTTTAAACTCGCACATTTAGGACGGATCGGGTAGTAACAATAGTCGCGGTGGAAGCGGACGCCGGCGCCGTTCACTCGCGTCGTGTGCCTTGCCTATCTTACCAGACAAAAGAAACTTATATCTTAACGCTTTTAAATTTTAGATTACACCTTGTTCTTATCTTGTCTTGTCTTATTTACGTTTTCACACAAACTCTATCAAAACTATTATATTACCAATTTTGATAAAACTTAACCCGTTGGAAAGAAACCCGAGATCTGGGGACACTGTAGTCAGATCAATAGTCATTGTTACACGTTTCTCTGTTTTAGCTGCAAAATATAAGTTTCAAATTTTAAAATGTTTTGGTTCTTGTTCCAAAATACACATTATTTACTAGAGCATGATTAATTGTTACATTATTCGAAGCAAGGTGTCTATTATTTTCCATTAATTATTATTTCCAACATTTAAAAATGTTTGAAATTTGTGCCCGAGGCACTGCAATAGACTCTTACGAATCCACAATGGCATTTTAAGGAGTTTATCTCCCAGTTAAAAAATATAAACGAGGGAAATTTGTCTTTTTCCTCCATAGAGTCCTCCTAATTAGATATAACTTAAAGTTCGTTATAAATATCATCAAAGAGTACATTATTAATATAGTCATCAGTCTCCTTGTGAAACAGCGCCATCTCTTGATGCGGGACCGAACTACAAGTTCAGATGTTTATAACCTATACTAATTAACCATTTTGTTCTTACAGTTGAGAGCTGTATTCAACTACAGTTTTCTATATAGTGTATATGAAATTTATTTTATGTATATTTGCTTACATTGTATAGAAAACTGTAATTGGATACAAGCTTGCTAGATGTTATTTTTGGATAAAGTAAATAAAATACAGAAATATGTTTTGCGAACTCTTTCGTTTTTTATAACATTCATTCGCCATTTTTTTATAATCTTTATGAATGATTTCGAGTCTGGTGCTGTTTAGTAAATTATTTACATAAAATTATTTTTGGCTATCCAAAATCAGTAAATTTCCTCCGATCGAATGAATTCATGTTTTAAATCTGTCACTATCATTTTTCTAGTGAGGAAAAGAATGCAAATTTGCGTTGCAGTCTTTACCTGTAAATACAATATTAATGTAGTGCTGTTACGTATAATAAAATGATGAAATGAAAGATAACCGAATAAAACAAATGAATATAATAACCGGCCACAGTTCAGTGTTACCAACTGTTGAAAATAAAAACTCCTAAAAAATTCAAAATCCTCCTAAAATCCACTGTTTTAAAAAAACTTCCTAAATGAAAAGTCATCTTTTTTTAAAAATTATCTAACAAGCTAGAATAATTATCGGAAAATTTAATTATCTGGGTAATCAAAACTGTTTTATTTAAAAATTAACTTAATTAATATACTTCACATTGAACATTGTTCATTGACTTCAAAATATTTATACGAATAAAATTAATTTTATTGTGACGTTATAATCATTTTCATTATTTTTAAGAATCATACAATAAATAATGAGAATAAGTATCATTCAATTATAAAAGATCTGAATTTAATATATTATGAGTAGCCGTATATTCACAATAAGAGTTTATGGCGGAACAATTTAAAATACTACATAGGCCAATGCTGCCAAAACTATTACATTATATTTTCTGTTTTATTTTCAAATTAATAATTTTTGTTTAATAAAATACAATTTTCTCCAAAATAAGAAACATACATAATTTTTTTTTTAATTATAACTTAAAATAAAATTTTGTTTTTAATTTAATGGTACCAAGGTTAAAATGGTTTTGCATTTGAAACAATACCATCTGTTTTCGACGGACGGAACTAAACGGAATGAGCAAGATCCATACAAATATCAAATGTATGGGCTGAAAAGACCGTGGATATCATTATAATTATTTAACATTAAATTATAATTATCTAATTATAATTACTACTGTTTACTATAAATAATGACAGTAAAAAGAAAAAAGCTTAAAAAGCCCATTTTAATTTGCATAGTATGCATTATTCTGCCATCTATCAAGTTTTATTATATACTATGTGATATGGAGACGTTGATTTTTCCATGTTTCCACGCTTTCCCGCAAATTTTATCGATAGCGACATCTTGCAGAATACCCATATCATTACTTTCATTCACACTTTGTACATACAGATGGCGACACTTCAATTATATCCGCCGATAAAGAAAAGAAAGAAAACATCAAATAACATTACCCATATGACATAAAACTATATGACATACCTGCATGATATACGCGAATACTACATAATTATAGTAAAATAAACCTGTTTATAGACTTTACCGCATTTTAATATTTTAGGCATTTCAAAACGTAATGAAATTCCTAAAATAGTTATTAGGGTTCCGTACCTTAATAGGTAAAAAAGGAACCCTTATAAGATCACTCTTTTGTCCGTCTGTCTGTCCGTGTGTCACCACCTATTTTTCCAGGAATGGGTGGACCTAGCAAGTTGAAATTTATAGCAGACACTGAGGTCTATAGTCCCTATTAGATGTACATATGGCCTGAGTCATTGATACGATGCAATTTACTTCATAAAATATGATCTGTACTCGTCATCAAAAACTTTTGCTTAAAAAGCTTGCTGACACGTGTATATCACTATCTCTGTTCTTCCCATAAGGGCTTAAAGACAGATAAGCTTTTATGTTTAATTGGTGGAATACAAGAATCAGCATTGTTGAATCAGCCGGTCCCTTAACGAATCCGTCTAACAGATAAATAACGAACTAGCATTTAATTTGTAGTCAAACTTCTAAAATTTTAATAGAACTTTTAAGGATAGCACTTTAATGAAAATATTATTATTACCAAATGTAACGTTAAAATGAATCTCATTCGTTTCTTTTACCATATTAACAGCGGATCTGTTACATCGAATCGACTAATCACGCCCAACGAGTAAATTTAACATTGCAATTAGAGCATCTCCAACGTCGACGTTAAACTAAATAAATAGCACTGTCACTGTAGATACTCTTCTGAACGGGGCGTCCTTAAAACCAAGTCCTCATAACGAGCGTCAATTAAAAAAAGAGAACTTCGAAGCGCACTCCAGTATCAGATTTTATAAGTCACCCCTAGTCACGTTCCGGCTACTACTCGCGACGGTAAACAATTTCCCGTTTGAAGAAGTTGCCACTGCGCATGAGCCAACTCGAGAGCCTCTCGAGGGTCATCAGCCGTACTGGCTCAGTGTATTCTTCAGGCTTTGCGAGTCAGCACCTCGCCTGATCCAATTATTGGGGCTTTTGAGCGGCGAGCTACTCATTGTGTCCACCAGGTCCGCCTGCCGATGAATTAATAAGTGAGTATGTTTAGCATTTCTTTCATCTGTATTTAATCCAACGATTACTTATTTTTGTGTTCCACTTTTGAAACGTTTTGGGACAAATTATCAAATGATATGTTTGTGTTTGTTTATATTTGTTGTTTTTTTAATAATCGTACAGTAAAAAGTGTAATTGTTAAATATATTCTAAATTTCGCGAGTATCCTATTAGCCTCATAAGCTTATATTAATTGATTTTTAATAATAACTGAGATAACTAACAAAATTTATAAAATTAAATGTTCATTAAAAAAATGTTTATTCAATCTTGCAAACGATAACTCAATAAGTGGATGCTTAATTGTATTCTATTAGCACTTAGCTTCAATTTTCCAGCTTTCACATTTTCGCGCCAAAAATACTATGCAACTTCTATAACTTTATTAAACATGGATAATTTAAAAATCATAATAACATTAACATAGTGCTCAATTTACTAAAGTATATTTAAAATACTAGAATTCCTTAAAAATAAGTTCAGAGAATCAACTAATAATTAAGAAACACATAAAAATTAATTTTATTTGAATAATTTACGAAACAAAATATTATTTCCTAAACCGTTTTTCTAAATTAATTATTATTTAAAGAAAATTTGGTTAAAAAGAACGTTCGTTTTATTAAAATATCGAAATCAAAAATATAGGCAGAGCGCGATTTTAAATAAAGCTATCTACGGTGATTAGTATATGTACGTAAATAATAAAAATATAATAACTTTTTCATGGTTTTCCATACGCTCTTGATTTAATTTTCAACAGTCCACTGGATGATGTTAGACACAAGGAGAGAAAATTAAACATAATTATGTTTATTCAAGTTACTAATTAACAGTTTGCCTATGAAACAACAACTATTTATGTTTCAACAGTAAAAGTAAAATTTTCGTTCCATCCAAATATACAATTTAAGTTTTTTTGTTGTATTCACGCTGATTAAAATAAAAAAATCCACTTATGTGTGGTTCACTACTATTACACATACATATATACATATATGTGATATTTATACGGGGTGGCTTTTCTAAGTGTATCCATTTTTTTATTACATTCTAGACATAAATAATGTTACATAAAAAATGATAAGTAATTAAAATCACTCGTAAGTAATTAATTATATTCATTTAAACTTATCTCAAAAAGTGCGTGATTTATACGCAATTTTACGCGCGATCATTCATAACTAACACGCACACAAGTTCGTGCACAGTAAAATTTAGGTATTTATGAATGACACTGTCACATTGTCACATTGTCAACACGTTCTGTTTTTTAGGGAATATAATGACTTTTTTTTTGAAGCTTTGTTTTTTATTTCAATAAACGATTATACTACCGAGTCTGAACCTCCTGTGAAAATTTGGGCCCTTCTCAAAAAATCTCCCTGTATTTTTTTTTATGGGAAAAAGCAGGAAACGAGCAGGAGGCCCACCTGATGGTAAGTGATCACCGCCGCCCATGGACACCTGCAACACCCGAGGGCTTACAAATGCGTTGCCGGCCTTTTAGGAAAGAGTACGCTCTCTTCTTGAAGGTTCCCAGGTCGTAACGGTTCGGAAAGGCCGCATGAATCGTGAACTGTCATAGTTAGACAGTTGAAATTTTCCAACAATGTATTGTTGCCGCTTTAACAGCAAATACTAAAAAACAGTAAAAAAATATATAAGTGGGGCTTCCAAACAACAGATAATTTTTTTGGCATTTTTATAGATAATGGTACGGAACGCTTCGTGTTCGAGTCCGACTCTTACTTGGCCGGTTTTCATAATGAAATGAAATCCCATCTGATAGTAGTTAATGCTGTATTCCGTTAAAGGTGATTTATCTTATGTATGGTTAAAATAAAAATATATAAGATTTTAATCGTACGACCATTCTAGTCCCCAGGGAACCTTTTTTTAATGTTAGCAGTAGTATACTACAAATAATATTGTATGGTATTCAGTTCCGTAAGAAGTTATGTTCATATAAATATTATTTCCCGACGTTTGATACGAAAATTGTTAGACTTATCATGTAGTGTTTGAAATAGTCATAAACCTAAAATATAACTGTAAACGGGCATAAAGTCAAACTTTCAGGGTATGTTTCAATTTTATTCGTCAACCTCGCCATAGCCTATTTATTCGAACGTTGTATATAAATCTTTCACTGCGAAGTGATTCGGAGAGTTAAAATGGAGAAGGAAATTTCTAGAAATTTGCGATTCAAAAAAGGATCTCACGTTTCAATAGTACTTAAGGGACAGGCAGGGAGATGAGTACATACGCACTTGAAAATATGCTGATTTTAATGAGGAAAATTACATTCTCTTTTGCTAGACGCTGTCCGAAGTGTTATACGGGCATACGGACACAGGCCTCGGGATATGTATGTATGTATGTTTGTTTGTATATATTAACTATTATCCTAGAGTAGAATAGATGGATGGAATGCCGATATGACGAATAGAATGAGGGACAAGGTAAATTGTCACTAGTAGATAGTATAAAAAAAAGAATTTTGAGAATCGGTTCATAAATGGCGGAGATATCGATGAACATATATTAAAAAAAAATACAGTCGAACATAGAACCTCCTTCTTTTTGAAGTCGGTTAAAAACAAAGTACTGTTTACCAATCAGGCTGGTCTTTAAACTTATAAAGATTTGCCCTTTCAGCCTGCAGTCTATAAAAACCTTCATAGAGCACAGAGCCTACAGTTTGCCTGATCATAATGCTAAAAAAAATTAACACTTCAAAAAACTCTATTAGCACTAAATTGTTTAAAATATGAAATCACTACATAGTATAAAACGAATTCGTCCCGCTGTCCGTCTGTCCTTGTGTATGCTTAGATCTTTAAAACTACGAAACGGATCTTGAGGCAGTTTTTTTACTACATAGATAGAGTGCTTCAAGAGGTATGTTTATATGTATAATACATTAAACCCGTGGGAAGCCGGGGCAGGTCGCTAGTTTACTGCTGATTCAAACGGAGAAAGAGATATACCGATATATTTGTTACGGAATGTGAGATATTCGAGTTGAATCGAAATATCCTAGTAGCGCACACTTTCGGCTTTCATGATATTTGCCAAGGTAAATCTCTCTTCTATGGCTATCTCTCTTATCTGTATATCTTATCTTTTATGGCTAAGACAGACTAAATATTTAGGCTTAAGAAACGCCGGTAAAAATAAAGAATAACTTCAATCTGTGCATACCTCTTCTGGGTTCACGGACTTTTTACACCAAAAGTAATACTGGCCGAACCTTCACTTAAATATTTCTATTTCGTATCAATTCTCTATATTAATATTATTTTGTTATACTATATTAATTGTTACAGTGCCAGTGATTTTATAAATGCAAGCGTGTTTATTCTCTCTTCACTCTGTAATGGCTTAACGTTTTGCTATTCAAAGTGGAGCTAATACTGTCTAAACTGACATACTAGCCCATGGAGAGTGTTTTGGAATAGTTATATCGATATTTAGAATTCCGCAGTTTAGATTGTTTTTAAATATGAATCGTTTTATATAAGACTAATAAAATGTAAATTACATACACACAAACAAAAAAAAATGAGATATATACATATGAGATATACAGCGTGTCGTTACCATCGCGACAATAAATGAACACACGTCTACTTGCCAATAATCATAAAAAAATATTAACTTTAAAGTAAATCCATAATTAAAAAAATACATTTTTCAAACAAACCAATTAAGTAAAAAAGAAACAAAATTTGTAACATCCTATACTACTCGCATCACAGCGTCGCATTACAAGCCTCTCTCCTTCTAACAGTATGTTTTGTCTCTTTTAAATGCATTCAACCCATTCATATGCTTTGTGACCTTTATAAATGAACTTTGCGTTACAGTTATACGTAAGGGTGTTCTAAAATTATTTATTTTGGAAAATTTAATAACTCTGTAAATGTTGATGTTTAAAGAATGTAAATGTTTAATACAATTTTAAAAAGTTATCCCCTATATGTGTGTTCATTTATTGTCGCGATTATAAAGACACGCTGTATACATACAAACAAAAAAAAATGATAAAATATAGAGGCTATGGGAGGCGGAACAGCCAGTGCTAATAAACGCAGCGGCAGACCTGGACTCTGGCTTCACCGCTCACCACGTTTCGACCTCGGAGGAGAGCGGCGATATAGTCAAAATACCGACACTCCTCAACCCCGCGGCCCCACCAAAACTGCATCAGCGGTGCAGCCCCACCTAGTCGTGGAGGATAATATATAATAAGATAGGCCAAACGCAATACCAACAGTCCCTCTTCCTCAACGTCTCTACCTCGGTTGCAGGTGACATCCCTGTCACCGAGAGTACCTCTACTACCCTCAATCTGCCCCGCACCCTCCTAGCAAGCATCCAAGTTTGTACCAAACAAGTAAATATTTTTAGATTAAAAAAACATTAACTTATTCTAAACGTGAACCGTACTTAATAGATAATCAGTATGTAAATGCAGTACATATACAAATAATACGTGTCGATAACATAAGGAACCTCCAAAAACACATGTTATATTGTATTAGTTAATTGGACATTCACGTCGGCGACATCATTCACTAGCTGCTGCCAGCGACTACGTCTGCGTAGATTAGGCTGTAGGCGTAACATTCAGACAGAAAGACAGATATACATAAAATATGTATATAAATTATAGCCTATGTCTTATTCTGATGTATAAGCTATATTATTGTGAAGTTTCATTAAAATCCATTCAGTAGTATTTGCGTGAAAGAGTAACAAACATCCATCTATACATACAAACTTTCGCCTTTATAATATTAGTAAGGATTAAACGAATATAGTTATTGATATACTCCTAATATTTGTACCATTGTTATTTTAATATACCACAATAAGGTTGCAAATGCGTTTTTTGGTATAAATAATATACTATATATTGCATAAATATATAATT